ATTAAAAAACAAATAAGTTAGAGATAATTGCACATTAAGATCTATTCAGTATGCAGATCTGGCTCTCTCCCTCCCTATTTAAAAAGCCCCAGTGGCTTTATATTACCTCAGTATAAAGTCTAAGACCTTTTCATATGACATGTGAGACTCCACTATCTAGCTTCTGCCTGCCTCTCTAGGCTCATCTCTCTTCCCTCCTAGCTTCCCATTTTATTGTCAGCAAATACTGAACTCCTCATGGGTCTCTGTACCTGCTCTTCTTTTAACTTGCCTCCCTACGCCTGCAAATGCTTCCCTTCATCTTGAGCTGTTCTTCTCCTTATTTGCTTGCTTAACTGTATTTGATCCTTTAAAAGCAGTGAATGTATCACTTCCTCCAAAGAGCATTTCCTGGTACTCCACCATTCCACCCTAAGCTGAGTTAGTATATATTCCACCCTTATTACTCTACAATGCCCTGTCCTTATCTCTTATCACTGGAGTTTGCCATTGTCTTAAAATTGCCTGTTTCTGAATCTTCATTATTTTGGGAGCTCCTTTAGAGCAAGACATTTTTATTCTTACCTCTTAGGACAGTGCTTGACACATGGTTGTTATGCCATACATTTTTGTTGAACAAATGAGCTAACAGCTTGCTAGCAGTCCATTGTTTTATTTAACGTAATGAGTCTAAGGCAGTGTCAGTGGAGATGAGAGAAGAGTCTAATTTCAAGAAATATTTACAGGTGGAATCAAAATTTGGTAGCAGATTGGATGTGGGAAGAGAGATCTGAGGTAGGGAAGCTCTAACTGCTGGTTATTCCATTACTTGATATAGGGATTGCAAGGCGGGGAAGCAAGTGAGGAGCCATGAATCTCAGCTTGGGGCATGCTACTTTTAAAAAGGCCTTGGTTAATAATGCTGCATTGTTTGTTTGAAATTTGATAAGAACAGATTTTGAGTGTCCTTACACCCCCCCACACACACCATAACTATGGGTGTGATGAATGTGTTAATTAATTTGACTGTGGTAGTCATTGCACAGTGTGTATGTATATGAAATCATCACGTATACCTTGAATATATACAATTTTTTTGTTAACTAATTTTTTTTTAAAGGGGGCTTAGAGTCTGTCCAAAAAATAAATAGATAATAGTTAAAAATATGGATATAGAGCTTGGGAGAGGTCAGATCAGAAAACCATAGATTTGAAATTATTTACCTGTTAATTCTACTTGAAGCTATTGGAGTGTATTTCACCCAAGAAAAATAAGTGGGAAGCATTTTGAGATGGCATAGTGAGCAGAGAGAATTATTTTATTTCAGTGAATGGGAATTTTCTAATTTCTATAATTACTGTGTTTTCCTTTTAACTATTTCACATGTGATTTCTGCTTTCTTTTCCATACAACTAGTTGGATATTAATTCTGAAGATCATAGAGATTGGATACCTTTTTTAATGTGCCCCCCCCCCCCCCCTTCTGGGCCAAATTCCAGATAGTAGTTTTCATCTTGTTAATTGTTTTCTTCCTTATTGTCATTTTGCTATTTATGCCCTTGTATTATTGAACCAAGAACTTAATAACTGTTGTGATTTGTTGATTTAGAAAGCTTAGCTGTAGAAACATTCTGTCTGGGGCCGGCCCGGTGGCACACTGCTACAGTGCGCCGCTTGGGAGCGCAGCGGCGCTCCCGCCGAGGGTTTGGATCCCACATACAGACCGGCCACTCACTGGCTGAGCGAGGTGCGGGTGCAACGCCGAGGGTTGCGATCCCGTTGCCGGTCCCGGTCCGGTCCGGTACGGGCGTGACACTGAGTGTTGTGATCCTTTGCCGGTCACGAAAAAAGACAAAAAGGAAAAAAAAAAAAAAAAGAAACGTTCTGTCTGGCTTTGGTGATTCTTATGATCAGCTTGGTCATTGTGTCCCCGTAGTTGGGAATCCTGTCATGTTCCTCCTCAATTTACTATTTATGAGATTCAGTAAGGCCCTCAACTAAATCCTAAATGCTGTTAATCTTTAATGGCTTCCTCGGGTTTTGGGGAGAAGGGGTAGGAGGGTATTTTAATGTTTTTTGGCAGCATTGTTTCATTTTTCTGTTTTCCATTACTTGAATGTCATTTAATTTTTTATATTAACCTTTATAATACAAAGACTAAGTCCCAAATCAATATCCTTTTCTTCATTATTTCCCCAGTTAGATTGAATATATGACAGTGAGTCAAGTATCTGAGGGGAAAATACATATTATCACTTGTTTAAACATGTTTTGGTTTGAACAGCTTTGCTTAGGCCTAGAGCTGTAGGACTTCAAAGTGAGACCATCAGGTGAGTCATATTGTCATCGTCTACCAGGCTGAGACTGGACGTATGTGATTGTCACCTCATTTTCTGCAGAAATAAATATTTTCTCTGTACCAGTAGCTCTTGACTTTTCTGCACCTAGCACAACATAAAGATACAACAGTAGCAGTGGCACATTTGACAGTGATTCTTTCCTGGGATTTGGGAGCTTATCAGAATCTCCAGGGGTACTTATAATTTAAAGAAGTCCCCCAGGTGTGATTCTGATTTGCTTCCTTCTCCTCCGCCTCCTTTGAGAATCACTATTTCATCAGTGGCGTCAGCATGAATAGGCACATTTATTAGTATCTTGTCCTCATATAGTCGAGCTCCCTAATACTTCCCTTTGGAGTGATCCCTAATAGTTTTTTCTAATTCCATAACTTCTGAAACCCATGTCTACTTGCCACTAAAGTTGTAACTACCATCAAAGCAGCCCTATTAGTATTTGGAAGCCTACAAAGCAAGGAGAGCTCCAAAAGCTTGAGGGCCAGGTTTAATGATGCAATTTATTTAAATAGGAACCCTTTGCAAAGACTTATACTTGAGGCCGGGATTTGTACTAACCACTTCACCCCATTCCCCCAGTTTTATTCCAGCATTTTATGATGAGAATGTTCAAACCTACACCAAAGTTGAATGAATTTCAGAGTGAACACTTGTATATCCACCACCTAGGTTCTACAGTTAACATTTTAATATACTTAATCACATGTCTACTCAAATATTCATCCCATTATCCATCTATTAATTCGTCTTTTTTATGCATTTCACAGTAAATTTCGCATAGTAAAAATCCCCCAAATACTTCAGCATGTCTATCATTAACTAGAGTTTAGTATTTATTATTTTTCTTTTGATATAAAATTTACATATACTGAAGTATCCAAATCTTACGTGCTCATTAGCTGAGTTTTAACAAATAATAAAACCATAACCTAAACCCCTGTCAAGATATAGAGCATATAACACCCTCTTTTTTCTGTCCAAATTATTTCCTCTTGACTTTCTATATTCTGTGAATTAAAGGTAAGAAAAAGGCTTGTCAGTGCTTGCAGGACAAATAGGGATCAATGTTTAATGACAGATCAGCAGATTTCTCTTTTTCATTGCCTAAAGTCCTTTGTGTTTCAAATCTTATATGAATATTTTAGAACAGGAGATTGAGTGAATAACTTTTCAGTTTTTAAATAATTATTTCGGAAAATATCTAGGTATAAATACCTGTTATCTATTTAGTTAAGTGTTTTATGAAGCAAGAGCTCTAGTTTAATGAAATGTGAGAAGGCGTGGATAGAAACAGAAGTGGGGAAGAGAACGGAAGTGGAGATGAGATGGGAAAAATCACAGAAATATTAATGTAATATGAATGTTATATTAAAATGTGGTTATTGGTTAAAATATATATTATGTACATATAATATCACTATACATCATAATTTATACTGATAACAGTGGTATGCCATTTATTTAAAAAAATAGCATATTATAATCTGCCTTTAGGAAATAAAAATTAAATTCCTCTAACTATTGGTCTTGGTTGTTAGTCATTTTATTTTTAATGCCTTTATGCCTGGTGAATATCACTTACTTGGTTTATTTTTAGGGTTATTGAGCATATTTTAATTTATACCAGTATATTTTAAATAGGGTGCTTGCATTTTATGAGTAGCAACATATAAGTGTATTTCTAATAAAATAATTCTGGTCTCAAAGGAGAAGCTGTGACAAAAGTAAACTGATACTTCCATAATAAAAAGATATAGCAAACATATAGTCATTTGCATATAGTTCCTGAAATATTGCATACTGGCTTTGTCAGTGCTGGTAAGTCCATTTCAAGGATGTCGCCCTTAGTCCATTAGTTTGGATAATGAGCCCTATAAAGTACATTTATAACTTGTGGCACTGCAAGGAGATGGATTCTAATTTTCATCCTTTTATCTAGACACATTGAAAGAAGGTCAATGGAGGGTTCTATATGATTCATTGTCCCAACACATATCAGATGACAGAGACCTGATAATGTCCGTGCATAAGTGTTTTCCTTATTTGGAAACAGCACTTGAAAGAAATCTTTCTAAGTTCATCCTTTGAAGTAAAGTGGAAACAGATATTAAAAGAAGCTCTATCCCTTTTTTTTCCTGTTTAAAACATTATCAAACACATGACCAGATAGCTATTCTTGAACAAAAGAGAAAGCAACACTTAACAGAAAAATAAAAAGCCTTTAGTGGCTTTTACAGGCTGTGAATTATATAACAAGATGTTTAATCAACTTTTCTCTCCTTTTTTTAGAGCTGTTAAAGAAGAAAATGAAAGAGAGCCTGTTTTCTAGACAAAGGAAAAGCTTCTATGTTTCTAAACATTAGGAAAGCTTATGATTATACTATAATACTTGTTTTGAATTTACTCTTACTTATTAATGGCATTTAAAATCTTTAAGTTGTATTCTATGTTCATTTTGTAGTTTAAAAGACTTCAAAATAGCAACAAGAATATGTTCTGTAATTTAGTGTCAGTTTTGTGTCAGAAAATGTGGAATTGTAGGCAATTTTTAATCTTATCTTCACAAAAAATTGGTTTTAGAATCAAAATTGATAGATGATTGTTTATTTTCTCAATTATTTAATCATTAATGTGAATTTTTTTTGCTATGCTTATCTTCCTTATAGATGTAAAGCAATCATAGATCAGTTTGGTCAGAGAATAATCTCTAAACATTTTCTTGTGGAGGACAGTTACTTTTCTGAGAACACTTGCTCACATGTGCAGTACAGGTAAGGTACCCCCTTCACCCACTAGCTAAGGAAAAGTGAAACAGGAAAATTTAGCTGTGTGTTTATACTGAAATTTCTGTATGATTCTGTTCTTCAAGTAACATGCAAATGTATACCAAACCAAAGATATATTCAGTATTCATTATAATATTTGTAGGGTCTGGTTTTTGGGGAGCCTAGCATAGTTTCAAGTCCTTTGCTTCAGCTGGGGTTTGTCTGTAGGTCACACATCCTTCTTTCATGAGCCAAGAAAAGATTAAAGCAGAACTTGACTTGGTTCTGGGAGGCGACACTTTTATCCTGACTTAAATCTTTGAAACAGGCCTTCTGGTGGTTATATAACTACAAATGAAACGTGTCCATGGAATCTGAATCACTGCTTTACTGTTTTGTGCCTTACAGGCAGATCTCCAGGGCAGTCCTGATTACAGACAGATCTGTACTAAAAACAGATTCAGATCAGCAGGTAAATTCAGTCAGATATTTTTATATAGAAGTTATATATGTTAAGGTGTACAACGTGATGTTTTGATACGCATGGTGAACTGATTACTATAACGAAGCTAATTAACATATTTATATCTTCACAGTTACCTTTTTTTGTGGTGAGAACTCGTAAGATCTACTCTCTTAGAAATTTTAAGTATACAGTACAGTATTATGAACTCTAGTCCCCATGCTGCACATCAGATCTCTAGAACTTATTCATCTTTCATAACTAAAAGTTTACACATATTGATTAGTATATACCAATTTCCTCTTCCCCCAGCTCCTGGCAACCACCATTCTACTCTCTGCTTCTATGAATTTGACTTTTTTGGATTCCACCTATAAGTGAGTTCATCCAAAATTCAAAATGCTCCAGAATTCAAAACTTTATGAGCACTGATGTGATACTCAAAGGAAATTCTCAGTGAAGCATTTGCATTTCAGATTTTCAGATTAGGGATGCTCAACTGGTTAATCTGCAAATATTTCAAAATCAGAGACACTTCTTGTCCCAAGCATTTCGGATTAGGGATACTCAACCAGTATATTCCTTTCTGTGACACTGGCTTGTTTCACTTAGCATAATATCTTCCAGGTTTGTCTGTGTTGTCACAAATGGCACAATTTCCTTCTTTTTTAAGGCTGGACAATATTCTTGCATGTGTGTGTACTGTATTTTCTTCATTCATTCATCAACAGACACTTAGATTGTTTCCATATTTTGGCTGCAACTAGTACTGCTGCAGTGAACATCCTAACAGGTTGTGAGGCAATAACTCAGGGAGTCCTGTACTTTTTAACAACATTGTTGCCAATTTAATTTACGTGGTAATATGTATGAGTCAATATTGGTGAAATAAAGTGTATTAAGCCATATGTACTAGTACTTTCAATGCATTTTTAAAAATATGTAATAGAAATAATGGCCTTGGTTTCTTAAGGATTTTCATCGAGCGGAACAAATAATTGTGTCTTATATAACGGATTTATTCTAGGAAAATTGGACTAAATCCTAGTTTTTGACAACTATTCTTATGAAACTAAAAATATATTGTTATGGGAAGAAAAAGAGAATCTCCAGAGAATACATTTAAAAGTCTTGGAGAATAAGGCTTTATGGTAGCCTACCCTACAGCAGTGGTGATAAGCCCACCATTAGGCCTGGTATAAGTGAATTTCAATTCATTCCCAGTTATGATATGTCCTCACCACCACTGTTCATTTCATTACCCTCTTCCTCCTCCTCACCCCCAATTCCATAAGGATGTCTTTATGCCTCTGATTTTCCTCAGTCTGATCACTTAAATTCCAGAGGCATATACCTCTTCTGACCATATTTTACAGTGAGTGATAAAATCAGCTTACTCAGTAGGTGTGACTGTCTGATCTGTATGCTACTGTTAAAAGTAGGCTCCTAAAACTTAAGTTGGAAGGCTTCTATTATATAAAACAAGTATGTAAGAGGATAAAGTCAATTAATGACCCCCATTTTTTTTTGCTAATAAATGAACATTATATACAAAAACCCCACCAAACACATTTGTTATACACGTAAGCATAAATACTTTCATTTAATCATTCAGCAAACAAAGAGTGCCTTTTACCTGCCTGCCAGTGTGCTGGGTTCTGAGGAGATAGTGGTAACCATGATAGCATCTCTGCCCTCAAATAGCTTGAAGTCTGGAGGATATAGATGTAGACAAATAAATAGCAACTACAGTTCAGTGCAACAAGTGTGGGCATGGGTGTACTATAAGGAACAGTACAGCAACTATTGTGTCACTTATCACACTGTCCTGTAATTGCTGGTTGACGTCTGTATCTCCCAGTAAACCATAACCTTTGTGAGTGCATTAAAGAGCAACAAGGAGGCAGGAAAGTGAAAAGAGCAAATAGGAGACAACTCTTTGAAGAATCTAAGCTGTGAAGAGTAAGAGAGGTCCCTGAAGAGGGATGTGGAGGTGAAGAAAGCTTTTCTTTTCTTTCCAATTTTACAGTATATTTCATCTGACGGGATGGATCCAGTAGAGAGAGAGGTTAAAAAAACTAAGGAGAGAAGGAAAATGATGGAGCAAGGTCCAGGAAAGAGCTGGGGAGGATGAGGTTCAAAGAACAGGCAAAAGCATTGCCCTTAGATGGGATGTGAGACATGTTGAAATAAGAGGGTGAATTCAGGGTCATTTGTAGATTTGGAAGTTCCCATTTGATGGGTTCTATTTATTCTTTAAATTAAAGGGTGAGGTCATCTCCTGAGAATGGGGGTGAGTGAGTGGGGATAGATCAAAGCTCAAGGACAGGTGTGAATTAATCACCGTGGGGAGTTGGAGAGTGACCTATCTTGTGGTTGGATTGCTGGGCAGTATTAATGGCCCAGTTGAGTCTGAAGGTCATGCCACTGTAAAGTGGCATTAATCTGCTCCTGTCCTTTCAGCTGTTTCATTTTCTTAGCCCCCACCCAGCCTGTTAAGAGACCCATAGTTACTTGTCCCCTCTGTTTCTTCCCCATTTATCATCTCTCTTCTGCTCTCTTCCTCTTCCCTGCCCTAGACCCTGTGGTGGATCTTCTGAACTGTCCTTTCTCCAACACCTTCTATTTCCGTGTCACCTTGTCTTTCCACTGCACCCAGAGAGGAAAATCCCATCCATGGGTCAGGCTATGATCTGTTCCTGGGTCACTGATGGTTAAGAAAACTGCACACCAGACAGACTGGCCCTGCCACAGAGTCTGAGGCCCTGCACCAGCCTCATTCAGCTGCACCCTCAGCACCCACCACCAGTAAGCTCTTTCAGTGGCCTCGGACAGCTCCCTCTCCCTTTCTCCTCAGTGCTTAGTCCAAGTCTTCACTATTTTACCCACTCTTCTCATCCCCTGCCCCTTTTGCCCCCTCAACTCCACGTCACTGAGAAAAGTGAGGTCACCCATCATCCACAGTGGCCCTTGACTTCCTGCCCCATCACCTACGATGTATGCATACCAGCCCCAGGATGAACGAGGGGACTCCCCACCTTGTCCAAAGCCAACCTCTTTCACAAGTGGCCTTCACACATCCCCTACCCTTCATTGCCTGTGCTCCCTCCTGCATCTTCAACCTCTCCCTACTACTGGCACCTTCCTTTCAACCTATATATATGTACTAGCATTTTCTACTCCAAACGTAAAAATTCAAACAAACAAACAAAAAACAACAAAAGGACAAACCCACTGCCTTGACTCTGCCGCCATCTCTAGCTAGAATCCAGTCTCTCCCCTCCTCTTACCAACATTTTCAAGACAGTATCTATACTTGCTGCCTCTAGCTCCTTACCTCCCTCCCATTCATTTCTAAACCACACCAACCTGGCTTCTTCCTCACATTTCTGCTACAATTTATCTTGCTGAGTTCATTAATCACTTAATAGTCAAGGCCAGGGGGACATTTTTTGGTTCTCGTCTACTAAGACTTTTCTGGTGCATTTGGCAATGTTGTTTTTCCCTTCCTCTTGAAACTCTGTATTCTGGCTTCCGTGGCACTGCTCTCATGGTTCCCCACATGACCAACTATTCCCTCTCTGCTTCTTTTATGGGCTCTTCTTCCTCTACTTTGTCCTTAAATATCAGGGCTCCTCAGGGTTCTTGCCTCAGTCCACAGTACGTCTTGCTCTGTGCACACTTGTTAAATGATTCAGTCTGCTCTCATGGTTTCATGTCCATAAAAATCTTGGTGACAGCCACTTCTCTATCTCCCAGGAGTGTCTGGCCTACATGCCAAACTTCCTGCTAGACATCTTTCAAATGGAGCATACTCACCATCTTCCCTCCCCAAACTGCTCCTCATCCAGCACTCCCTACCTCTGTGAAGAGCGCTGATATCCTTCTGGGAACAACTTCTGCCTCCCCTCTGACATCTCAGCAGCTTTCAGGTCCTGTCAGTGTACTTCCTGAAAGTTGCTTTGCTCTGCCTTTCCTTCCAGTCCTTATTCTCACTATTCCAGTTACGGGACTCATCACCTCTCCCTTTTAACTGGCCGCCCTGCCTCTCATCTTATCTCCTTCACAGCGTCCTCCACACAGCCATCAGGGTGATCACTCTAAAGTGGAAATCTGGCCTGCCTTGCTTTGTTTCCTATAGAGAGTTTCCTCCTCCTACTTTCTTTTTATTTTTTGAGTTTTGAAGCATAGATCAAATGATGAGACTTAAAGAGAGGAAAGAATAGGTGTGAGTCCAGGTAAATTTTTTGAAAGTGGTATTAGAGGGTTGAGGATATTCTTTTTTGATGGCTTTTATAATCTCTGAGGTTTGAGAGGTTACCTTCTCAGAGTTCAGGTGAGGGAGATACTGTGGTACAACATTACTTTTGTCTCTGTTAAAAACCAAAAAAACACAACAGTGATGGTTGTAGGAACCCAAAGAAGTTCTTACATATTGCCTTAGGCCTTAAGATACTTTTCCAATTATGGTCATGTTTTTAGTCATAATCATTTAATTATTACAATACAATCAATGTCTTAGTGCCTTTTCTCTGTGTAATGTGAAGGGAGTTAAAAGGAACATGGAGAACTGAGTTTTTGAGGCATCTTGAGCCCCCAAATGCTCATACTAGTAAGATAATCATGGTTATCAAAATAATTTCAATTTTTAGAGTTTGTCGTAGGCATTTGCTGTGTAGGCTGTCAATGTGGCATTCCCAGTCAAAATCTAGCATAGCATTTACAGGGAGAAGTAAGAATGGGGCTTTCCCTTTTGTCAAGTATTTCCTGTGTGAGGGGATGTAATCGTCAGGTTGAAGATGAGATTGAGGATTAATATTGGAACTTTAGGCTTTACAGAGAAATATTGACCTGATGGTTATTTAAAATCTTTTAAATATAAAGCCATGTAGCATATCAGTAGTGCCTAGGACAGTGTGCTGTATTTAATAATAATTTTATACTTCACTTTTGATTTTAAATTTCTACTTTTATTAATCGAGTCCTGAAATTAATTTGAAATCATTCATTTTGAAACATTTTGGTATATATTTGCTTTGACTGCTTGTTTCAATATCTTCAGGATTGGTTAACATCTTTAATTTTTAGTGCTTTCTAACTGCTATTTTTACATTCTTTTTTGTCCTTTTTGAGACCGGCCACACTGCGCTCAGCCAGTGAGCGCACTGGTCATACCTATATAGGATCCAAACCCGCGGCGGGAGCGCTGCTGCACTCCCAGCGCTGCACTCTCCCGAGTGCGCCACGGGCTCGGCCCACTAACTGCTATTTTTAGCATTATGAATAATCAAAATTGATTTAATGTGGTCTGATTTCAAACACCAGAGTGCATATATTTCAGAAGTAATAAGTCATAATTTCATTCTTTGAAAATAGTGAATAATAAATATTAAAGATATTTGAAATATTTATTGTCTATGAGAGTTATTTTTATATGAACACAATATATATGATACAAATAATGCACAATTTGGGTATCAAGACACATATATGCATGTTATATGTTTCAAATTCTGTTCCAAAATTAAACCCTTACAAGCCAAATGTTTTCAATCATCAGGGGATGTTTGAAAAAAGATAATCAGTTTGGGAGTTAACAGTACTATAATGATAAAAGAATGAAAATGAGATGTAACAGCTATGCCTGATATTTTGTTTCTGCTTTTTTAGATTTCCATTTTGACAGTACCAGCAGAGGAACCAGGATCTTTTGCTGTTCGGGTGATTGAGTTATGTTCTTCAACAATGACATGCATGAAAGGCACCTGTAAGCACAGTCGAGTCTGGTTATTTGTCTTTTGTGTTTGTTCAGGGAGTAAAGGGGGCAGTTATTACAGTTGTCAAGATTGTGTTTATAGAGGTTACACTTTTTTTTTTTCTCATTCACAGTATTTGTTCATACAGTATATGGTCATACAGAAAATCATTTCATACCTTTTCCTTGCTTCTAACATTTCTGTGGCTAAATCTTCACAGGCATGATTTTTTAATTCTCCAATGGAGGAATTTCTGTGACTTTCCAATGTGTTCTGTAATTTGTCTTTAGCTTATTGGAAGCCTACTTTCACAAAATTTCTTTTCTTTTTTTTTTTTTTCTGATTGGTTATGAATATTCATGAGATACAAAGCTGATTGTCACCCCTTGTGCCCAAGATGTGAAGGCCAGATCCATACTGGCAGCATGCTCATTACCACAAATTGCGATTGTACCCCGTGTCCCCCACCCAATTATCCCCCAACTTCCCT